CATAGCCGTTTCATTATTGCCCAATCGTTGTTGGTTTTTGGTGACTTTGTGTGCGCACCACTCACGCTATTCTTCCTTGACTTTTTTCCTGCCCTTGTGTAACGTTACCTGAAATTAACATCAGCGCAATACTTGGAAATTAGGCAGCGTTTATACTTCGTGCTTCTTTTTTTCGTTGTTCGAAAGCGTTCATACTTCGCGACAGCAGCGGCGATCGTAGCGATCGTCGGATTAGGGTTTCGGTTCCTGGGTGATTTTCTGTTCCTTTTTTTTCGTTGTTCGAATTCGACTTGTAAACTACAAATATGCAGGAAATTGGAACTTTCGAAACACTTACATAAATTGAAACAATGAAAGCAGAAAAAAAAACGAAAAGAAGCTCACCTAAGAAATAAAGTTGCCCTTTATGCCGACCTCAAAAAGAAGGTGAAACACATATTCCAGACCCTCTCAGGTACAGAAAGTCACAAGTTTTCATTTGGTAGCCGTTATTAAAACAAAAAAGGTCTCACAAGTTGGACTTCCCCATTATCAAAGCGTCCAAGTAATAGCGTTGGGGCGCGCTCTGACGCGCACCGACGATCCCGGCGACCGATACGATCACCGCGATCGCCGATGTTGTCGCGAAGTATGAACGCTACCTTAGTCTATAGAAGATTCTAAATTGGAATGGAACGGCTCGCGAAGTCAGAAAATTTGATTATTCGAACTTGCTTCATTAAATAAGCAAATAGTTAGAAAGCAACAAAACTCGGTCAGAATATACATCACAATGAACATGTTTGCTCTGTAATCTAATTAACCTGAAAAACGAAAGCGATTCAATGAGAATGAGCTATTGAGTATCAAAAATGGCAGGGGATAAATGTAGTAACATATAGTTTATAACAATGCAATCAGACGGGATAGAGGCAGGGGGGATGAGCTTGCTTATGGCTGTTTGCTCTGCTGATATTGATCGGTTGGGCCCAGGGCACATCGTTGTTGGGGAATCCCCAATAGGGGGGTCGTATTTGGCCGCCAGGAGAGGGGGTCGTATTTGGGCTGAGAAAAATTTATTTTGATAGTTGATTTTTCTCGCTTCACGGACGTTGTAAAAGGGGGAGGGGGGTCGTACTTACTTTTTGGCCTTCCAGGAGTGGTGACTTTTCGTGATTTTCCTGTTTCATGCGTGCCGTATACCCCCCCCCCCCTCCCGCCTCCGCTCGACAGCAAAATTTTTGGGAAAAAGTAGGGAAGTTTTCGGGAAATTTTGGAAAAGTGGCAGGAAGTTGGGGAAAATCTGAGAATTGGTAA